TCCTTGGAGAGGAATTTGGTTATATTTGTTTACTTTTCTGTTTAAGATAACCACATTATCAAGCTGTTTTTCATTAAGTTTTTCTTGCACATTCCTTGCAATGCCACATATTTTGGACTCTTTTGAATGATGGATCTTCCTTCTGCGAGACTTAGTGGTTTTATTATGGTGTGCTAAATTGTCTAATGACCTTTTATATTTCCGTACATTGTGTCCCTCATTTGATATTGCACAGTTAACAAGTTTTATAGTGAGTTTGTTGCGCCATGCATATTCAGAAACATGTGACCTATTTTTTTTAAATTTCTCACTTTCATGCCTTTGCTTTAAGTCTCCTTTACCAACCTTTTCTTTTTGCTTTTGTCTCTGAAAATAATCTTGTGAAGATAGGACTTTCTTAATTTTACATGGACTACTGTTCGACTTTAAAGAGTTCAAGTTCACATTTGAAATATTCATTATACTCTGGTGGACATTCCTTTCCAAGTTTGTAGACTTTGCATCTGTAGACGTTTTTTCTTCACAATTTTCTTCATTTGTGCTTGAGAGAGATTCACACAACTTAGACCCATTTACCATACATATTTTCTGTTCTAGCTCATATTTATTCTTTTTCTGCTCCTTATCAGACACATTAGGTTGTTCCAACTTCCACTTTGGATTTTTAAATTTTGAGCAACCTGACTTAAATTTCCGTTTTAACTTCTCTGTTGATACTACATCTCTTGAAGAACATTCCTTCTTAAGAAATTCTTTGTTTTTAATTGACCAAAAATGTGATTTTCTCTTTTCTCCATTTAAAGGGATTAAGTTTCTTGCTTTAAGTATCTTCTGTGGATTTTCCTGAGAATCTTCTCCATTACAGCTTGCCATTTTCTTCCTTGAAGAAAAACTAGGTTTTTCATTTTCCATGGCCTTTGGTGAACATTTTATTTCATCCTGTTTCATTTCAAGCAAATTTCTTTTCCCTTCAGGATGTGCTGGAGGATTCTGCAAGTTACTCTTTAAAGGACTATTAATTTTTGTAGCATCAGTAGCTGGGTCTCCTTTATAACTCTGGCCATCAAGCTTTTCTTCTGTTCTAATGTCCTTTCTAGAATCACACAGACATTGGGGCACTCCATCATAAACTGTAGATAGCCAACCTAAAGCACAGCAATGAACATCATCTTTTCCTGTAGAGGGTACTATGGAATCCTGATTGACATCATCTCCTGTAGTTTTCACGTGTGAACCACAATGATTTTGGACTTCTCTTATTGATTCCTTTTTCTGAGAATTTTCCAATTTGTCTAGATTGTCATCTCCCTTGCAGATTTCTTTATTTTCTTTAGGGAACAATTCTTTCATGCGCTCTGAGCTCAATATTGTAATTTTAATTTGGTTTACTGGATCTTCAGAATCACAGTTGCTTTGGATGCTGGTTTCTTTATCTTTAGTCAATGGGTTTATGGTTAGTTGCAGTGATGAATCTTTATTTTCTGCTGGTATATTGTGTGTGTCTGTACTCTCAATACCATAAGGAAATTCTTCTACAAGTTCAGACAACTGGTCATCTAGATATTTCACAGATACTGCCTCGTCAAAAATAATCTCACTGTTTGCTTGTTCAATATTTTGGACCATACAAGATAAAGGCTCTTTGGTGAAATGTGTGCCAGATACATCAACAATTTCTTTAGAGTTAAGATCTGGCTGATCATCAGTTGATGAGCAACACTTATTACTAACAACTTCTGTCATCTCAATATTCTGTTCCACATTATTTTTTTGTTTTGCAATTTTGTCATTTGTTTCACAATGCTTTAATTGAAATGATTTTGAAGTCCCCAATGATTTTGTCCCATAAGATATTTTAGGTAGGACATTAGTAATTTTCAGCAAATTTTGCTCTTTAAAATTACTCACAGATTCAAACTTGGTCTGGTTCAACTGTTCTTTAAGCTGTCTATTATCAGTCATAGTGCTGTCTGCTAAAGAAACCTCTTTCTTATCATCCTGTGTTGAAGGGACAGAGTTGAACATATTGGCTATTTGGGAATTATAAAACATATCACCTTCAACAAGAGAACAGACACTGGCAATTTGCAACAAGTCATCATTCACTGGACTACCATCCACCAACTGCATGGAGATTTGCTCTTCCTTATTTTGTTCTATACCTACCCCTGAGATGTTTGCATTGTTGGGAGAACAGATGTCCTTTTCTAAATGAGAGAGCTGTGGCTCTGACTTGCCTAGTTTTTCTTTTATTGTTTCAGATGAAAAAGTCGAGTTTATGTTTGAATGTACTATTCCATCAGCTAGTTTTACGTCTTGCAATTTGGAATCAAACTTATTAGTCAGCACAAAATTATTTTTTGCAATACAAATTTCTGTTCTTTTAATAGTATTAATATTTGATGCAGCAACTGCTTTTTCTTTAACTTGGTCTTGTAAACTACATACACTGCCTTCTTGAATAACTGGGAACACTGATTGTAATGAAGATTTAGTTGGCTTCAGTGGTTGGTCACCTGATGGTTTTACCTCTGAAAGGATTAAAGGTGAAACAACAGCAATTTGAAGTTCAATCCCCTTTGTTAAATTTGAATTTCCAGATTCATGTTTGTGCCCAATAGGAACATTCACAGTTGGCAAAATGGTTTCATTCATGTTTCTTACAGCTGTAGGAGATGACATTCCATCTAATACTTTGTTTTTTCCTAATATGTCGCACTTTTGAATGTTAGTGGATTCTGATGGTGCTTTTTTCCATAATGCAAGACATGCTGTTAACTCTTCCATGGAATAATTATTATCCTTTGCACAAGATTTCCCATTAAGCAAAACTGAAGTCCTATCTTTCAGTTTAATAGAATTATCTAAACCATTTTCATTTGAGACAGCAGTCATTGGAATTCCTGTGTTTTTGAATTGTGATTGAGCACTAGTGACTTCCATTTTTTGTTTTGCTTCAGAATGGATAGACTTATTACAGTCCTGAATGTTTTCACTTCCACTTTTTGCTGATGTTTCCTGATTCATTATTTTGGGGGTAAAATCTAAAGTTGTGTTGTTGCTTTTAAGGAGATGAGAAAGAAGTTTGTAATTGTCCTCTTTATTTTTCAAAACATTTTGTCTTTGTTGGGCAACAGAAGTTTTAATCGTATCACCAGATTGTTGAGGTCTGTCAAATCTATCACCTTTATTAAAATCTAAGGGGGTCTGATTTGATAGTGTGTGTGCAGGATTAATGGCTGATAAGATTTTCTGACACATCGGGGAGGGTTCCTGAAAAAGAGCTTTTCTTTGCTGTGTCTCCAATTTTCCAGAATAGGAAGAATTTGGAAAGACTGAATTGCCTTGGTGAATCTGTCTGCTGCAATCTGCTTCTTTAATGCAAGTGTTCAGTGTGTTGTTAGTTTTATTTGTGCCTTCCGTGGACTGCATTACTGTCAGTGGTTGATGTTCTGAATTAACTGACAGTAACTGTGGAAAAGATTGATCCTTAGAGGGAAGTTGCAGCGACATAGCAGGATTCTGTGGCAAGGAAGAATTATGTGTTTTATCTTGACTTTCAGAAAGAAAGGATTTTTTTATTTTAATTTCTTGCGCTAACTTCACAAATTCATTTTTCATTGCCAGTAATTTTTTTATATCCTTAAATAACCCTTCTTTAGTTATCTTGGAATCACTTTCTTTTGATACATCAATTTCTGAATTAGTTGAATGACTACCTTCTCTATAAGAACTACTACCTTTTACAAAGGAACTACTACCTTCCCTGAGAGAACCACTACTTTTCCCAAGAAAACCACTACCTTCTCCAAGAGAATGATTGTTTATCTGGTTGCTTGGTCCTGGGATTCTGCTCAGTAATTCAGAAGATGCATCACCAAGACTTGTTCTCATTTGTTTATTTTTATAGTGAGGTATTCCACCAACTGCAAAAGAATTGCCTGGTTCATTAAAGGGATAGTTTGTTTCAACATTCAGTTTCTGATGACCATTTTCATTAGTGTTCTGCCACTGTTGTTGACAATCTCTTCCAAAACTTCTTTTTGTTTCAGAAAGATGTACTTGTTGAGTATGTAAAACTTCATTAGATGGATTATGAGCTAAATACTGACTATTTTTTTGAACCGGTGGGATTAATCTACAGTAGTAGTTAGGAAGATTTCTATTACTGGTCTCAGTAACTGTACTAATAGCTGCATACTGACGTGACTGTACCATTGGATATGGTGGTGGAGGTGCTGCAACAGCTATACCAGGGTTTAAAAGTTGATTACTTGTAACCTGTAATGGTGTAGCTGAAGTAACAGGTTGTTTTTGAATGGTTGTATTAGATAAATTGGTTACTATACCTCTTTGTGAATCAAGATACTGACTTGGTTGATGAAAAGGCACAGTCAGTCCACTGGATGTACAGGGTGGTACCCACCCGATTTGCTGTTCTGCTGAATACAAATTAGATGCTTGATTTCCTGGATACAATGGAGGAACTTTTGAAGAATTAGATGAAAGCATCTGTAGCTGCATAGTATAGGTATTTGATGAGACATACTGGTCCTGAGATTTAAGCGCATTATGTACACTACCTCCAACACTAGTTTGAGATGTCCCACCAGACAATCCTCTGCTAAAAAAGACAGAATCACTCACTGAAGAACTTAACCAAGAGTTTCTTGGAGCACCAAGTGATCTGTGTGAACTCTGATCTGGTTGATTTGGTACTACTTTCAACTGTGAAAAAGGAATTCTTTCAGTGGAGGTTTCTGGGATGATAACTACCCTACTAGATATATCTGGGTGAGAGGCTTGCTGAGGATTTTTAGGACTTTCAATATTTTGATACTGTAATGATTGTAAAGTTGCATTTTTATTGTTAGGGCAAACAAATGCCTCCTGATTATTTCTAGAATAGTTACAAGAACTCTGCGATGTTAAGGTATGTGGACTTAAGGCTTTTCTCAGAAAACCTGACTGACTTTCTAAAAAGGATGGAAGAGCAGCATTATCTTCTGGTTTGGCATTCCAGTCCATTGTTCTTTTGAAGATGTACCAGTATGGTCCACATCAGTTGTTTTTTAAATACCAGTAATCTGAAAGACAAGTAAAAATTATTCTTTTTCCAGTAATTGTTTCTTAAAGAGCTTCTATGACAAGAAACTAAAATTTCCAGGAAAAAACTGGTTGCTATATAAAGATTCAAATTTTGTTGACTCCATTACCACCATTTTCCCTATCATAGGATCCTGAAACTAGTTATTTTGTGAAACAATAACACAGGGGAAATAGTAAATAAGGCCAACATTAAAAAAAAAACAAAAACCCAACAACAAAAAAAAAACCTTTCAGTCCTGATAAAGGACAGGTAAAGAACAAACATAAGGTAAATATCACTTTAAATAAGTTTCACAGAAGATCAAAATTACTGCTTTTTAAAAAGGTCCTGACACAAAAGTTATTTCAATGTTTCTTCACAGTATGGACATGACCATAGGGAAAAGTGTCATGTCTACTATGGAAGAAATGAAATTTACTACATTTGTTTGTGTCTGAATAAGGTGCAAGGAAGAATAATTTCTGTAGCAGCAGCCACAAAGGCATAAGTTGCAAACAGGTTCTTCCTCAATCCTGAGTACAAGCAAATCTTTTTTTTTTTCTTTTCTGGTGAGGCAATCGGGGCTAAATGACTTTCCCAGGGTCACACAGTTAGTAAATGTCAAGTGTCTAAGGCCAAATTTGAACTCACGGCCTTCTAACTCTAAGGCCAGAGCTCTATCCACTGCACCACCTAGCTGCCCCCACAAGCAAATCTAGGTTTTTACACTAGATTGTGAGAAATAACTAGACAAGCAAAGTATATAATCATATATGTGAGTCAGTAAGAGAACAATATCTAATTACAAAACATTCTGAAAACAAATAAGCTAAAAATAACATGTGCTTACAACAGGTTGAACAAATGTTTTCCACTGTTTGGCTTAGAGAAAGTTTATTCAGATCAGACAATATCCTATGAGCCCAGCCTATCTAACTAAATCAGGGGTTCTTAACCCAAGAGTCATGAATTTAGTTTTTAAAAATATTTTATATTGTATTTTAAAATACTTTTTAAAATATAGAATAGATATTTTTAATTATTTAGATATAATATTTTTTTAAATATAGAATAGCTTCCTTTGTAACTCTATGTATTGTTTTATACATTTAAAAACATTGTTCTGAGGAAAAGTCCATGACAAAAAAAAAAAGAAAGAAAAAAAGAAAAACCTCCAAGTTAAATGCACTGGCAAGTTACAATCAGTTAGCTGAAAAGACCAGATCTTTTAATACATACCAGGAAAAATTCATAAAGGAATCATTATCTAAATTTAAAAGGTAACACCATAAAGGTCAGGGCATAAGACCTTTCAGATCAAAGAATTCTTAAACAATAGAAGTTATCATAAAGGATAAAAATCAAAAGCCCTCTGCACAAATATTAAGGCTGCTAAAAGAAAAGGGAATGTGATAAAAAGGAGGGAATCTTTGCATCAAGTATCACAACCAAAGCCTAATACCCACAACAAATAGGGAATAATAAACAAAATAAGACTAACAACCAATCCAAATTAAATTTATGCTAAAATAACTTAGGTTTTACCTCATATCCAAATTAACAAAGGATAAAAGACAAAATAGTGTTACAATGTCTTTGGTAATAGACATCTGAATAAACTTGGTGGAACTGTGAATTAGTTAAACTAATATGGAAAATAATTTGGGATTATTAGAGATAAGAATATTAATCTATTCATAATCTTTGATCCAGAGAGCCTACCACTAGACGTATTTTACTAAGAAGGTCAAAGAAAGAAAGGCCTCATATACATCAAAATATGTATGGTAGCCAAAAATTTTTTTAAAAAGAAAACAAATGTCCATAATATTATGCCAAAAGAACTAATAAATGAGGAATTCAGAGTATCATAAGACTTGAAATAAACAATCAAAGAAAGTACACAGGAGTACAATGATTTCAACAAAAAGATTAAAAGAAAGATGGCTCCAATAAACCCATAAAAGGTCACACCATAAAAAAATCAGAAGAGAACAGGTTAGATTCTTTTTTACAACTGTGCCTATTAGGAGAATTCATAAACAGAAGATAAAAGGAGATGATAATTAGAAGAGGGGGAAAATATTTGCATCAAACATCATTAACCTGATATACAATATCTATGGGCAACTGGCACATTTCTAACACTAAAATCCATTCTTGAATAAGTTAAGTGGCTAAAGGACAGGTGATTCTCAAAAGAAATGAAAAATGCTAATGATTGTAAATGAAAACTATTACTTCAAATTACTATTAATCAGAGAAATTTACCACATATTTACTACCAAACTACCAAGGATGAAAGATGTAATCACCTATGTTGGAAGGGCCATGGTAGATACATTTTTTGTACAGATGTGAATTGCTCTAATGGTTCAGGAAAGCAATTTGGAGTCACGTGTGAAAAACTACTCTTTGATCCACACATCCCAGTCTAGGATATATTCCTTCAAGGAGCAATCACTAGCAAAGTAGGTGCCCATTTATTAATATATGAATATCCAGCCACAAGGAAAAAAAATGACTATTAAGAATTCAGAGAATCTGGGAAAATGTGTATGAACTGATGATCTGGAAACAAACAGAACTATAGCAAATGAAAATGCTGAAAGGAAGTTGTATACTAAGTAATTATAATGATGAATCTTGGCCCCAGAGAAGAGATGAAATAACACCTTCCCCTTTGGTTGTGAAATATTGCTTCCATTGTAAAATTCAATCATTATATAGGTTCCTTTTTACTCACTGTTCCTCTACACTATAGGGGAGAGCTCACACCCTAATCCTAATTTACATGTTAGACTAATTTCATGTTGTTAGTTTTCTCTGACATTTTTTTTCCCTTTTTAAAATCTTTATTACAAGGGAAAGTGAAAATTTGGAGAAGATTCATCAAAAAAACATTTTAATAATTATTCAAATATGTGAATAACAAAATAATTTAAAGTCAATTGCACAAAACAAGAAGTGTGACTTAAGTGTATGTCTATGAATGGGTTGTCATATTTAAATGTTGATGGAGGAGGTATCATTTCCTTTGCCCTCCTGATCTTCGACTTCTCATCATATGGTGTTAGGGGAAGAGTCTGGAGAGGTATAGCATTCCTATAAATTGAGCACTCTACCCAACAGATTGATAATTCAGCAAGAGGTTTACTGACAGGGTAAGGTAGCAAGAGGAGGTAGGGGACTTAAGGCTGCAGTTCTGAGCATTTGGCAACCTCAAGGAAATTTTGTGGTGTGTGGTTTGTCCTTCATTCCTGAAGACGACCATGACATCAGGAAGACAATGACATGACTTGTGACTGAACTAGATGTTAGGGAGGGCTGTGCCTCACTTCTCCTCCACAGCCATCTGGGTCCAGTGGCCAGATATAGATCAGGATAACTGGAGATGGCCCAAGTGGATGACCTTCGCCTTTTTAAGCTAAGGTCTTTCCCAGTTCCTTACTCTGACTGAAGCAATGCCCATTCAGTGATTAGGGCTATTTAAGAAGGGAGTCAAGGGGTGGCCCCTTTTAAAAAAAAAATCAAGCAAGGAGGGGAAGACCCTCAGGGCTGCTGGCTGAAAGATAAACAATTACTATTTACATTCACTCTAAGCCAGAAAGACCCAAAAAACAATCCATTAAGTGGTGCTTACAAGGACCTATTACTGTCCAATCAAAGAGCCAGAATGAATTGGGTTTAAGGCATGATCTTTAAGGAATCTAGCCAGTAATCCCCAAGATAACTAAGTAGGTTATTTATTATTTATATAGGAAAATTTACCTTTCCTAGGGCAGAACAATGGAAAGGGAGGGAAGAGGAGGGGAAGGGAGGAGAGTGGAGGAGAGGAAAGGACAAGCTGAGTTGCCCAACTGGAACTGGCCAGCTGGGTCCCCATTAGGGCACCAACGTCTTACAGGTTGTGGTTTGTCCTTTGTTCCTGAAGAGGACCATGACATGAGGAAGATGATGACATGACTTAAGTAGCATGATAAATAGCATCTAAAACCATCAGCAAGCATTAATTGAAATGTGAATAAGCTAGAAGCTTTCCCAATAATATCAGGAGTGAAACAAGGATGCCCATTATCACCACTATTTTCAATATTGTACTAGAAATGTCAGTTTTAGCAATAAGGAGAAAAAGAAATCATAGGAATTAGAATAGATGATGAGGAAACAAAACTATCACTCTTTGCAGATACGATGGCATACCTAGAGAATCCTACAGAATGAACTAAAAAACTACTTGAAATAATTAACAACATTAGCAAAGGTGCAGGATATGAAATAAACCCACACAAATCATCATGATGTATTTTTACATATGACCAACAAAGCCCAGTAGCAAGAGGTAGAAAGAGAAATTCCATTTAAAATAACTACAGACAATATAAAATATTTAGGAAACTAGAAGCTATTGACTCCATGAGAGAAGAAATAGTAAAACATGTCAATAGATTGAAAAAAAAAAGGGCAAGGTTATCACATGGGGAAAAAAAACAGACCTGGAAAACAGATCAAGGAGAAACTAATTTTAAAAAATCAAAGTCCCTGAAAGCCATGACCCAAAAAAAAAAAGAAGAAAAAAGAACCTAAACATTCTACTTCAAAACATCCTAAAAGAAAACTCCTCAGATCTCTTTGAAGCAGAAGACAAAATAAAAACAGAAAGAATCTACCAGTCACCTGCCGAAATACCAAAATTAAAACCCCAGGAACATTATGTATGCAGCCAGGAAGAAAGAATTCAAATATCAAGAAGCAATAGTCAGAATAACACGTGATTTAGCAGCTAGATAAAGGAGCAGAGAGCTTGTTATTACAGGATATTAAAGGATATGGGCTTATAACCAAGAATAACTTACCCTGCAAAAATGAGTATAATGCTACAGCAGGAAAAATGGACCTTTAATGAAATAGAGGCCTTCCAAGCATTCCTACTGAAAAGACCAGAGCTATATCGTGAAGCTTTGAAGTTCAAATAGTGAACTTAAGAGAAACACTAACATAAAGGGGTCATAAAGGGAAACTAATTAAACAATACCCAGGAGTGGTTCTGTTATATCTGGATGATCTTAAAAGAATGGAAAGAGAGGCAAAGAATACTATATTGGAGAGGGAAGGGAAAGGAATGGTTGGGAAAACTGTCTTACATAATTAGAACGCACGAATGAGTAAACAAACACGGAGGAGAGGATCAGGATTGAGGGAACCACTGACACCTGAATCTCGATCCCATCATAACTGTTCAAAGGAGGGAAGAAACACCCACACACACTCCCCCACAACCCACACACACCTGAGCACAGAAATACAACTGGAGGGAAAGAGAAGGAAGAAGGGAGACTTAGAAGAAGGGTAGATTAAGGGAAAGATAAGTCCTAAGTAAAACAAACTAGGTATGTATAAAAGTGTTTATAGCTCTTTTTGAGGTGTCAAAGAATAAGAATCTGAAGGGTTGTGCTTATGAACTGGAGAAAGGCTAAACATATATATAAATATGACAGAATTATTATTGTACTGTGAGAAAGGATAAAAGGGATGGTTTCAGAGAAACCTGGGAAGACTTGTATGAACTCACACAATGAGAAATGAATAGCAGTACGAGAAAACTTTATACAGGACATCATGGTAAAGAAAAACAATTATGACCAGCATCATGACTAACCATGATTCCAGAGGATTCAAAATGAAACATAGTATATACCTCCTGATGGGGAGGTGAAGGGCTCAAGAATGCAGAATAAGACATATTTTTTTTTGGACATGGTAAATGTGGAAATTTGTTCTGATCAACTATACATAATGTAATTAGGTTTTGATTATTTTCTCAAGGGAGGAAGAGAAGGTAGATTTTGGCTGACTGAAAAAATGTATATAATTTATAAAGAAATGTTTTTATCTCTTTAGTGACCCTAAGTACAAAACTCCCTTCTAAGAAAGAGAACCAGATGAATTCAACAAATTCAATACAAGCACTTTTCCATGTGCACTATAGATATAAATGAAGAAATGATAGTTCTGGTACAACTCTGCGGCACTGCTCTTTAAGAAATCATTCACTGCTCCCCATAGCTTCAACTGTATTTTGGCCAGATGGCTCTACTGCTCTGGGAAAACTATCTCAGTGGAAAATTAGGGACTAGATGAGGGCAAATGTGACGTTTTCTTGTTGTAGTTAACAGAAATGTTGTAGCCATAGGAACTGCTGAGACAAGAACTTTTGTTCAAGGAAAGAAAGAACTCCTTGCTTTCTAACTGCATACTCCACACTCTATAGCTTGGTAGAATACTCTCCTATTGGACAACCTTTCCTGATTTCACAGTCACTAGCAATAAACTTTGAACAACTTACCTGCCAAAGCACGTGGTCTTAGCTTACATCGGCAATTCTGGATGTTCCACTGAGATTACTGACGACTAGTGACTCCATACCCATAGAAGAGATTCTCTATGTTGGATTCCAGCTGCAATACAAGATGGTAAGGAGACATCCTTTAAAGTTCACTACATGTATGGCCAGCAGAAGCCAACAATCCTGGGTTGCATCCTAAAACCTTTATAGGAACACATCTGTACATGTATATGCTTAAAGATTAGTTTCAGAACACTTAGGACTCCTTAGGAATCTTAGTCCACATCACAGGAAGAGGAGGGCTTGAAACCAAGCCAATCACAGAAATTCTAACCAAAGAGGCCAAAATCTTAATGACAAGCACTGATTTAGTAGAACCTTGCACACTGAAGGGCCCAAGTGAAATATGATAGTATAACTATCCCTGCCCCCACAAAGAAAGTGGCATATTTTATGTACACTCTATAATGCAAAACTTTGCAAATTTTTTGCTAAGAGTAATTTTAATTTTCTCACCCAGGGTTGGAATAGGTGATCCCAGATTAATTTATCCTAAATTTGGACAAAATTATCTCCAAGGCACCTTGAAACCTGAAGAAAATAAGACTAGCTTTTTCTTTTTTTTAAAGAAGCTGCAAAACAATATATCCCATCAAAATTGAAGGGCCTCAAAGAGCCACAGAAAAAAATCTTGTTGACATTAAGAGTCTGAAGGAAGAATCTTGAATCTGAAAGCTTAGGAATCCTCAGTTATGCCTTAGTCTTAATGCAGTAGGAACAGCAAAGTCCTGTTTCCCCCCAGAGCAGTGAGGTCCTATCCTTTCCCTATATGCTGATTAGACAACCCTTTCCCTTGTTTTCTTAGCCCTTTCCCCCATATGCTGAGCAGACAACTACTTCCCCCATATGCTGAATAGGCGACCTCACCACCCTATCACCAGCGCCCCTGTGGTCAAGTGACTTTCCCAAGCCCAAGCAAGTGCAAGGAGATTCCTCACTGCCTGATAGTAACTTATGTGATGTCAAAGCCCCCATTAACATCTCATGAATACGATAATGAAGGGACTCTGATGAGAGTGACAATATAGCTATTTCATGATAGCCACCCAGAAGACCCAATAAAGCGCAGGCACAAGTCTTTTTTGCTTGCATAGCAAAGATTATGCCATAGCAACTTTCCATAAGTCACTCCCCCTTCAGCTCCAATATAAGCAAGTCCCCATTTCCCTTCCACCCAACCAGTATCCTGAGTTGCTTGGTTCAGTTTGCTTTTATGATAATAAAGCCCTGTTGTTTGGAAGGACTCTAGCCTTCGTATTCTTACCAACTCCCGAACCAGCTCTCTCACTGCATTAACAGCCCCAGAGGAAAACGTTCTGTTTTTGCCTTTCACCGTAAGAGTATTCTATTCCCTGCCCTGACCTAGATAGTCTGGAACCTCTTACCTCCTCCTCCTTTTAATATTAACTATTGTTGCTCTCCATTACTAGTATTCTCCCAGTGCTTCCCCTCAAAGACTCATTTCAAACTTGGATCAGTGGCACTGAAACCCAGAGGCCACTCCTTTAAGCATTACTCTAAAATGTTCCTAAAACTTTCTTTACTGGCTTCTTCACTCCAAGCCCAAGTGAAACTCTAGGGGTGCCCATATATCCTCTTCAGAAAAAGAGCTGAAAAATTCAAGCCTAGAACTTTGCCAAACGCACTGAAGAGTTCATTAAATTTCAGAAGGAACTTGAAGCCGCTTTTGTACGTTATAGTTCCTTTGCCAGATCATTCTCCCCAGTGCTTAGCTAAGAAAACACAGTCAAGATGGCCAGAGCCCTTGATATTCAAAACACCCAAAGACTAGCTAAACTAAACTAGGGAATAACTCCTTAGGCTTGAGGTTCAAGAATAACAGATGGGTCTAGAACTGACTCCCATCCAGCAAATCTCCCAGAGACCTCTGGAAAATTGTCACAACTTTAGGAAAATGGAAGAATTAATGCCCCAAAGGACTTCAGATTAAGGCTACATGAAGGGTGGCAGTAGCCCAGCTTTCCTATGTGTATTTCAAAGAAAAACTGGTAGGGCACTTTAAAGCCTACAGCAGTGTTAAGGGAAACTGAGGAAATCCTCCCCAGTCCCTCGCATGACTACCTTCTGACCTGACATAAGGGATGTAATTTAAAGTTAGTATGTGTGACCGGGAGCACCAAGGGAATAGAACATCAAAGAATAAACAAACTATGTTACCCAGGCGGAACAACTCTTATCTGAAGAAATATGTGTGTGTCCAAGGATCTGGCCCATCCTTGGACACATACATAAAAAACAGGCATCTGGAGCTTTGGCCAACCTTCCCCTTTGTTCTAAGGTTGTTTTCCCATGGTTTACATAGATATAAAAGGGGCCGCTTGGGAAAGGCACCTTTGGAGGTCTTTTCAGAGATGGGAACGCCCACTCTGTTGGTTTTTCCCAATCAGGCCCCTGGTTTGGTGTTGTATCTATTCTTTCTTTGTTTATTTCTATCCTTTCTTTGTTCTATGTTGATTCACTAGGTCATAGGCATATGTACATTATTTTAATTCCTACTTCTCCATAGCCTTAAGCATTATCAAATAAACCCAATTACTTGTTTGTACCAAGTATTCCTCATTGTATCTTAAACCTAAAGTCAAAGTCTGTAATCCCCTTTTGATTACAAGCAGTCAGTCAAAAAAAACATTTATACTATGACTGCTATGTGCCAGGGATACAAAAAATTCTTGCCTTTAAAGAACTCATATTTTAATAGAGGCAACAATATGGAAACAACTATATAAATACACACACATACACATACATACACACACAACATAAAGGAGAGATAATCTCAGAGGGAAGGCACTAACTATAGTAAGGATGGGGAAAGGTCTACTGCAGAAGAAGGAATTTGAACTGAGTTTCAAAATAATCAAAGGAATCCAGAAGGCAGAGGTGAAGAGGAAGAACGCTGCAGGCACAGGGGATAGCCATTGAAAAGACCCAGAGTCTGGAAATAGAAATGTCTTATTCAAAGAATAGCAAGGGTAGTGGCACTGGCTGAAAAATAACAAATACCTTACAAAGCCCCTTATTCCTCAAGTCCCAGACACATTTCTAAATTGAGATGTACAATATTAGGGATAAAAGACTTCCATTACAGCTCCATCCTCCATTTTACAGGTAGAGACTGCTGTTTTACATTGGTGCTACCAACTATACCTAATAGGTCTTAGAATTTGATGATGACCCTAAATCAAACCAATGGGTGAATACTATGGATTTCTCTGATCAAATCATTCCTCATCCTACATCCAAACTATGAGGCATTTCTTTGGATGTCATGTCAAACTAAAAAGCCTTCTTCCTTGGTCCGCCTTTCCCTGCTTAATGTGTTAAGTCAAATTTTCCTGTGCTGGCTTAGCTACACCACTTATTGTGTCTTAAATAGGGTTTCTGTTGTGGTCCTGCTTTCAAAGGTTGATTCTTTGATAAGTAGGACCACAACAGTTGACTACTGACCCATTTGCTGTGCTTTTGGGGTCAACAGTCCAGTCAATAAACATTTATTAAGCATCTACTATATACCCGGCATTGTGCTAAGTGCAATACAAAAAAGAAGGAAGGCAGCCTGCACTCAAGAAACTTAAAATCTCCTAGTGGGGAGGGAGGTAACACCAGAGGGTACCTGGCAGCCGGGCATAATGTTCATGGAGTTGAAACCAGTAGAGAAGTTGATGGGAAATGGAGAGATGGCTCAAAAATTCTAAGCCCTCTATAATAGCAATTTTTTGCTCTACTCTCCAGCCCTCCAATAAGAAGGGAGAAGTAACTGAAGGGGCTGATGAAGTCTTGAGTATTGTGGGCTGCAAAATTTCCAATTAGCAATAACAAGCAACTGAGGTATGAACAATAATCAATTTATTTAGGGAGACTTACAGTCCCTAAGCAACTGAGATCCAAGACAATTCTTCACAGTCATGTATGCCTACTGCTTGAGAGTGGCCAGTATTTATACAGATCGAGAACACACTAAAAAGAGAATAAGCCAGTACAATTTTATGACTGGTTAACACCAGAATCAGGGAAAAAACTATGATTGGTTGAGGGGCATGCACATTAATCATAATCCCTTTGTCAGCAGGCATTCTACCTGACACCTTGGCAGAGGTTTTCACATGAAAGTAAATATCTGGTGTTTTTGGTCAGCAGTATCCTAGAAATGGATACTCACCACCATAATGGTGGGTGAGTAGAAATATTACAAGATTGCAGTGATAATGATGCATAGGTGCTGATGTAGCAATAACAAGCGCCAGGGTTAAATGTAATATCTCTATAACAGTCACATGCATGATAGATATTTCTAATACATATCAATATCACAAATAAAGTTATTTGGTCCCAACATGTTTAATCTAACAATATAGCTATCAATTTCAACCTAACATCACTGATCTCCATAAAAATCATCATAAACTGGGCAAATACTGATCAAACTGAGTAGGGTTATCAAAATTATTGTTACAGTATCAAAGTTGAAGTAATCTCCAAGATGATGAGATTGCTGTTATGTGTCCCTTTCCCCTTCAACATTCCAGAATTGGGACTCTAAGGATTGAACCAGTCCAGATTAGGCTGACCACAATCGATCTCCTCCCCCAAATGCCCAATATCCCCTTAGAACAGTGATGGTAAACTCAAATAGAAACAAAGGTCATTAGATAATAAATAAGGATCACTATGGGTCACATAATGACTTAGATCTGTTTACATTTTTTATTAGTTCATCAACATATTAAAATCAGATAGGAACTAGATATAACTAATATATAAAAAGAAACATTATTATTAAGAATTTAAAATTTTTTTTCAATGCATATGCATTTATATAAGAAACATAAAAAGCATACTTTTTAAAAAATATTAAACAGATGCAAAATCATTACAAAACATATCACTACAAAAAAGATTCAAAATTAATTCAACATTATTTGCTAATAACTTGGAATTTTCAGCCAGAAACTATTTTATCAATATTGGGTATAAGCTTTTGTGACAAGTGTAAGAAATAACTCATTTAGACTCAGGAAGGATGAAGTTAAA